CAATCAACACTGGAAAAAAGTTCATCTGGCAACAATTACATTAATCCTTAATATGTAAACATCGCTGACAAGCAATCGGATACTTGTAGCGCTGTTCACTGAGCTTGTGAAAATTCAGCTAAGGCACAATCCACCATTTTATTTCTTAATTGGGTGCATTTCAAATCCACGTCCTTAATATATCATACATATACCTGTCGTAATGCCTGTTTAAGCATATACATGACATAAACAATGACTTCACTACAATGTTGTGGCTAACCCATGCTAACATTAAACAAATTGGATAATTTCCACGGTATTCTATACCAATTCCCCTTTTTCACAAGTGTAGTTCCTTCTACTGGCACTAACGCCAGAAATAGTAAAGAACCTACGCGCATTAAATCATATTATCTTTATTTGAAACGCAATTTCTGCATGTCCCTTCCATGCTTCTGTAGGTTACAATCGAAATATCAATTCGTTCAAACGAGATAATTAATTTGCTCAAACGAGATACTAACTCGTTCAAACGAGATACTAACTCGTTCAAACGAGATAATTAATTCGTTCAAACGAAATACTAACTCGTTCAAACGAGATACTAACTCGTTCAAACGAGATACTAACTCGTTTAAACGAGATACTAACTCGTTCAAACGAGATACTAACTCGTTCAAACGAGATAATTAATTCGTTCAAACGAAATACTAACTCGTTTAAACGAGATACTAACTCGTTTAAACGAGATACTAACTCGTTTAAACGAGATACTGATTCGTTCAAACGAGATAATTAATTCGTTCAAACGAGATACTAACTCGTTTAAACGAGATACTAACTCGTTTAAACGAGATACTAACTCCTTGAAACGAGATACTAACTCCTTGAAACGAGATAATTAATTCGTTCAAACGAGATACTAATTCGTTTTGGTTTTTTTTGGCACTAATGGGCCTTCGTAAATGGGTTTTCGCACGTTACCATTGATAAACATAAAACAACTGCATACTTCCTGGTCTATTTTATATGTATGTAATTTCCGATACTATAGATCGTAGTTAAGTTTTAAACACATTAAACAATAATGAAGGTAATTATTTTAATATTTTTATTACACTAGGGATTTACCTACAGACTGACGCCTAGAGATTCGACATCTAAGGGGCCTCCGACCGCGGTGTATATTATTTTTTGTGACATTGTAGTCCTGTATTAGCAACGACCCCAGTCATAGTGGAAAATGTTATTATCTCGATTCTCGACCAAGTGCAGAGTCGGCTCTTTACAAGAGACCAGTAGCCTAGCTAGCTTTGTGTTACGTTTGTATAATGATCGATTAGATCCAAGTCACACTTTTGAACATGTAATTATATAAATTAGAATCTTTGAATGGCATTTAGCGATTGGGCATAATCTATGGATAACAATCACTATAAACACGACGTTTCGACAAGCATTCATTGGTCGTTATCAAGCATTCAAATTAAACATATGCTTTATAACGATCAGTGAATTCTTGTTGAAACGTCATGTGTATATAATATAGTGATTGTTATGTATAGAACTATGTTATGTTATAGAACTAGATAAGGTAGAAGGCAATTTGGTGAAAATTTCATTCAAATTGATCCACAATGAACCGAGAACTAAGCGACTAAAATTCCCATAAGCCACGGTCATCATTACTAAAAGTCAGTACGATAAACAGCATAGTCTCGATTATCCAGTTAATCGTTTAATGAGAAGGAAAGTTATGCAGTAAATCGGCTTACAATCCACTAAAGATCGCAGGCTAGCGCAGCCATCTAGAGTTGATTATGGCCTGGATAGGTTAATTAATGTCTAATTAATAATTTAGATAACATTTCAGGCTTAAAGAAAGACCTGAAATAGGCAGATTTAGCTCTTGCATAATGCATGTTTAATCTTTAAAATGAGGACACAAGCCCACGTAATAAATTACAACAGTTTTTTTTGTTGTTATAATATACTGTAAACAGTATTTGTCAGGATGAAAATCAATTATTTAGCAGTTATTTCACAGTTTGATGCAGCTGAAGTACGTGACCTTCCCAAAGCCCCAAAAGGACAAATGAAGGGCAATGCGTTCGTTTCCTGGGTTTCCAGGGACAATAGTTTAATAGATGAGGACAAAAAGTATGTAGTTGACCAGCTTGTTTATAGCTTGATCGGAATTTATTTTCTATTTTGCAGACCGCCGTGAAGTATTATATCCACAGCCGTCGGGTATGGGAGACAATTTTATTATCTTTTTTATATATATATTCACAATAAACATTTATTTTACCATTAAATCATTTATATATCTAATTACCATAATAGTTTGTATTGTAATCATTTATAACTATTAACAGTCATCTATGTATTATAATACAGTTAATTTATACTTGTATATCGTATCCGTATTCATGACAATTGCTAGTTTACGAATTTATGTTAACGCCCTCCCCCCTTCTGCTTAGCTCAGCTACTTAAATAAAAATGTAAACCAACACTCTTTATGAGCAAAACGTCACGGTCGAGTGCTTTATCCATATTGACAGAAGGTTGGGTGAGATAATCTGATACCACAAAATGCTTTGCATTCATGAAATTGTATTACAATATGACCCTATTAATTCATTATAAAAATTCACATCAAACGGGGTGTTTGGTTTCTCTCTTTAAAATGTACGTATGCCTACGTAATTTGAAAACGTTGATTGTATCATGCATCGGGTCCCCCATTCAGCTCGACACGGCGAATGTGCACGCTTCAGTGGCTTGTCTCGAAGTGATTTCTGGCTAGTCATCGCACGTGACATTCTCTACACATCTATCATATTACAACCGTAAAAAATATATTACTGAATAGCAGTAATATTGATTATTACAGCTGGTTATTACGTATTACGTTCGTTTTATTTTTTAAATTGCTTTATCATTAACTATACCGTTAGGAGCGGCATCTTTTGATTTAGTCGAAATAATATCTCTGAAACACTCTGGTTATAGGCAAGAACATGATACTAGCAGTAGTCTCATTTTACTTTTATGAGGTTCTTAAAACAATTGTTGGGTTGCCTAACGTGCCTTTTTTTAAATTCAATTTTTTGTCCCAGCTTTCTGTTATGTTTTAAAAACGTAGTCTTGATTATCCCGGCCTGTCAATCAGACGGATAATGGTCGGTAGACTGGTTAAGCGGGACTAATTTCAAAACAAGAGCACGTAACCTATTTTTTATTCAAAAGTACCCGGATGTTATACCCGACACTCGTAACCACTTTTCATTGTATTATTTATCGATGGTTAAATGACCATAGCTTATTAAGTACAATATGACCGTTTATTTAGTGACTATAAATGTTTGAAGCTGATTTAAGGCTTGGTATATATATAGATATTGTGGTGTAATTGTCGAGATATTTGGAGATATTTATTTATGGTGGGTCACCCTACCATGCATTGTCAGCTGTCAAATTTCCTCAACCTGGCAAACTCCCTCCTGCATAAAGTCCTAGATCCGCCCCTGCACACATAAAAATACCCGAGATCTCGAGAAAATTTACACAGGATGGCAAGATCCCGAGAACATTAACTGGAATTCTCGAGATCGTTAACGCAGGAAGGGAGGTTCTCGTGAAATTTATTAGGGGATTTCGAGAATATTAAATTGAGATCTCGAGAAAGTATCACAGGATCGCAGGATCTCGAGGTCTTCTCAGCGCCACACAACCTGTTGTTTCGGAGTCCCCCCCCCCCCACACACACACACACTTTCCCGAAAACCTTAATAGCACGATAGAGCCTACAGTTTTTAACGGTTTTGTTTCAAATTTTGTGATTTAACGGATTTTCGATATTCAGTGTTCCGCGACAAGGATGACCCCTATTAATTTTCAGCAATTAGATTTCTTGATGAATGCTAGATCCTTATACAATTTATTAAACAACCAAGTTTTCCTTTCGAATAATCTGCTGTTGATGCATAGATGCTGCGTGGACGTATCTCCACACTTTGCGTATCTATCGTTCAAATTGCCTTTGAATCATTAGTGTCACAAGCAGAGGAACCCTATTTATTTTCGGCGGAACAATGAACCTTATTGATTTGCAGCGCTCCCTGGAGTTTTGTTATGGCGTTATTCCTATTTTCCGGTAAACCTTGTGAACGCGTTAGAGCTCAGAGTTTTTCAAGATTTTTTATTTAAAATCTGCTCCGAAGCATTTGTACCACAAGACAATAAACTCTCTGTCTAGCTTTATTCTGAAACAAAATATGGTCAGAAAACCATGCAAAATATGACATTTTCAATTAAACGTCGCCCACACATTAAATTGAAATAATTTAACAAGCATGTCTGTAATTCAAAGCTTTACACATTAAAGCTAACGTGGTAGGGTTTTGAATTTCATATTTGGTGTGAGTATTGGGGCCATATGACCATGAACCCAATCGATTTTAATCATATTTCAAATTTAGTGTAAATCATGGGTGTCCTATCGATTGTCCGTATATTCTTTCATTAGTAAGCAGTTTTCCTTTGTAACAAATGTTAGAGTATTTTTTTTTTACCAAATTTGGCGCGAAGTATTGGGACAAGGGTTGCTTCACAACGTAGAGACACTATCATATAAGGTTTCATATTAACTCGGGATCTCGAGAAAATTTAAACAGGATGTCAATATCTCAGGAAAAATATCTGAGGATTTCGAGAACATTAAATTGAGATCTCGAGAAAATTACCAGCTGATCACGGGATTTCGAGAAAGTATCACAGGATCGCAGGATCTCGAGACCTTCTACAAAATTTTGCATGACCCCTATACGCTTCCGTATTTATCATCGTTTCGTTTTATTTGTTATCGTTTCGTTTTATTTATTATCGTTTCGTGTCATTTGTTATAATTTCGTTTTGTTTCTTATCGTTTCGATTTTTTTTTTCGTTTTGTTGTATTTAGTTTCGTTTTCTTTTATTTATTATCATTTCGTTTTAGGCGAATATACAAATAGGGAACGGAAATCAACAGAGTGTGGTTTATAACTGTCGTAAACATCGAGTTCGAAGAATTAGTGATAGACGTCAAAGAAGTAATGGATCCGTCAAAAATGAGCAATCGTTTCAAACCACCGTTGATGCCTCTGAGAACAGAAATGGTTATAGAACCATTTGTGTTGTCTCTGACACCAATGATTCACACTATAATGCCGAATGTACCAGTAATATTGAATCCAGTCAACGGACTGGCAGCAAGGTAGTGACTGACTGTAAGACACGGCAGGGTGGGGGAATTACGCCTCTGCAAGGGTCAAGGAAGGCGGCAAATGGCACGGTTATTAGTAGCATAGTTCGGTCTATGTCCCTAAGAGAAACTGCAAGGAGAGCTGGTGTTAATGAGTCGAGTTGCCTGGGTGTTGGTCGTTGCAGTGAAGAATCAGGCAATGTGATAGTTGACGAGGAAACAGGGGATTGTGAATCTAGTTCCATGGCAAGTTATGAATACTCAAGCTGTGGAGTGTCACAATGCGAGACAAGTAGTGATGGTACAACTTCTGAAGATTCTCGAAACTTTCCTAATGCTAACACAGGCAAACCAAGTGAAGAATCAGACTATGAGATGATTGCCGAGGAAACAAGTGCTGGGGAATCTAGATCCATGGCAAGTTCTGAATACTCAAGCGAGACATATAGCGATTGTACAGCTTCTGAACATTCACGAAACATTTCCAATGCTAACACAGAGAAACCAAGTGAAGAAGATGGCTATGTGATGATTGACGGGGACACAAGGGCTGGGGAATCTAGCTCAGGAGAACCAAGACCAATCCTTCCAAACCGAGAAAGGTAAGCATAGCGCCAGTGACCACAAATTAACTGTTGAGAATCCAATATTCTTACACTTTCTGCCTCGGGACTAAAATAAAATCGATGTAATAAGATATAAACCAGGGTCGTAGACAAATAAAGTAGTTTTTAAGGAGGCAGGTTTCCGAATTACGCTGTGAAAATTTTCAGATATTGCCCACATACTAACCCGAGGCTTTGAGTTTATCCATTTTTACCTTTGATTAGATATAAATCAGGGTCGTAGACAAAGGTAGTAGATTTAAGGAACGGTGTGGGGAGGGGAGGGGTGTGTGGCAGATTTCGGAATTAAGCTGTGAAAATGCGGTATTGTTCAAGTGACTACCAGAGGCAGTTCTGTCTTTCAACTTTGCTTCTTGGTACCTCATCGTCCTTATTTGACAAATAGTTAGTTGCTATACGAGATGCCATACAGAATGGAAAATTATAGTGTCCCATTATTGTTTGGTTGTAGGTCCATGATCGTAACAGATGTGATGGAAGCGATCAAAAATTACTTTGAACCGAAGATTAGTGAACTCATGGACCTAGCAAGGCGACAATCCATGCTCAGTGAAAACCAATCTCGATCTATTTACTGTACCCAAAATCATGGCTTTGATGCTGATGATTCACCAAGCGATGAAAGTATATATTGTGAACCTTACTGCAATCTTGCCAATGGTATATCCCCTGAATATGATCCATATGAAAATCTTCAAGAAGTAAACGCGAATGATCAGCTCCCAGACAGCTCCGTTCCAGATGAATCACCCCCTCAAGGTACTGTAATCATTTTGGTATTCAGAAACTAGAGGAGACAACATTTTAATGATTTTCCCCAACTGCTAAAAATCTTTTGAGCCAGTGAAAATCAAAATATGGTTCTCGAAAATCAGAATGGCGGAAGTGTTTGGTCAAATTAATGCGCTTTAGATCATGACCTGTGCCATTGAGGTTTCTATCATGCCACCCCCCCCCCCCCCCACACACACACACACACACACTACTAAGTACACTTACGCAAAAGCGAGTTATTGCACTACAAATGTGAGTGATTTGTGAGCGTTAACTTATCTCTTGTATTGTAGGAGATATGGAGGTTGTTGGGGGAGGGGTCCAATTTTTATTGTCGGGTGTGGTCGTATGAACACGTGATACACATAGCTAACAATTTTTGTTCTACTTATGTATTGCTGGTATATTTATTGTTCAGGTGATTACAAATTTCCAACAGATTGTTGTCAGATATCCACAACACAGAGAGATCACCAAGTTCCATTTACTGTATCCACAACACAGAGAGATCACCAAGTTCCATTTACTGTATCCACAACACAGAGAGATCACCAAGTTCCATTTAATGTATCCACAACACAGACAGATCGCCAAATTCCAGTTAATGTATGTACAACACAGGGTGATCACCAAATTCCATTTAATGTATCCACAACACAGACAGAACACAAGGTCCGATTAATGTATGTACAACAGGGAGAAATGGCAAAGTTTCATTTAATGTATCCACAGCACAGAGAGATAACCAAGTTCCAGTTAATGTATCCACAACACAGAGAGAACCCCAAGTTCCATTTAATGTATCCACAACACAGAAAGATCACCAAGTTCCAGTTAATGTATCCACAACACAGAGAGAACACCAAATTCCATTTAATGTATCCACAACACAGAGAGACAACCAAGTTCCAGTGAATGTATGCACAACACAGAGGGAACCCCAAGTTCCATTTAATGTATCCACAACACAGAAAGATCACCAAGTTCCAGTTAATGTATTCACAACACAGAGAGAACACCAAATTCCATTTAATGTATCCACAACACAGAGAGACAACCAAGTTCCAGTGAATGTATCCACAACACAGAGAGATCACCAAGTTCCATTTAATGTATCCACAACACAGAGAGATAACCAAGTTCCAGTTAATGTATCCACAACACAGACAGATCACCAAGGTTCGTTTAATGTACCCACAGCACAGAGAGATAACCAAGTTCCAGTTAATGTATGCACAACACAGAGAGATCACCAAGTTCCATTTAATGTATCCACAACACAGACAGATCACCAAATTCCATTTACTGTATCTACAACACAGACAAGTCACCAAATTCCATTTACTGAATCTACAACACACACAAGTCACCAAATTCCATTTAATGTATTCACAACACAGACAGATCACCCACATTCAGTTAATGCATGTAGAACACAGAGGGAACACCAAATTCCATTTAATGTATGTACAACGCGGATAGATTACCAAATCCCAGCCGATAGTTGTCAGTTATCTACATCACAAAGAGATTACCAAGTTCCATTTAATGATGATGATGACATTTTTTCTTCTGTATCTGCTGCTCCTGCTACTACTGCTGTTGCTTCTGGTGCTGATGATGTTTACAGTTGGTCAGAATGTGAAAGATTTCAAATATTGATTAAGTTTAAGCTTAAAAACAAGTTAGTATTTACATATATGATTCCTGCATCCATTTTTTAGAGTATCGACTTTTATCTTTACAAATGCTTCAGTAAATGATGAAATAAAATGGGGTTTAAAACGTCCTACTGTTCTGCTCCGAACTGGGCTAATGAAAACATACGCCATACAATGTGCTATGAGTGAAATTTTGCCCGGACAGCGGCGCTACGGCCTACTCATATATCGAATTCCAACTGACAAGGGATCTTTTACGTGCACGCCAATGTGTACACGGGACCTCGGTTTTTTGTCCCATCCGAACAACTAGATACTGTCCTTGTCAGGCCTTTCGTCCTGCATCACTGACTAGGGGGAACCAAGCTGGATAATCTGAATGAACTTTCTCGGCCAATGCAGGGATCGAACACCCGACTTCCAGGCTAGCGAGCCAGCGCCTTACACACATAGCCACAGTGGCTCCTCGGTGGTTCAGTAAACAAAAGATCACCGTGTTGGTCGAGATTCCCTCTTTATATTCCAGCCTTTTTTGTCAGGTAGACGACATGTCTGGGAAACAAAAGTCGTTAGTCGGAACCTCTGCGTGTAACTATATAGTTATATAGTGCAGGGCCCAATTTGCGGAAATTGGTCAAATGTGCCAAAAGATGACCCTGGCGTCATTATGAAGGCCTGTAAAGTCTTCCAGTGTGTAATATATTCCCTAATGTTGTTATTTCAGATGGCGAACGAACAAACATTCGGTCCAGGCAACGGTCAACACAGCAACAATACTGCGAGATTTAAAGATGCAATTTGAGCAATATTGTGGATGCCCAGTTACTGTGGAATATTATGTTTCAAAATACGGACATGTAAGAAATATGAGTAAAGTACATGACTATAACAAAAGTTTATTGGATTATGGAATGACTGCCGGCTCAACTTTGTGCTTTAAAAGTCTCCGTGTTGCGGCACCCAGCTACAGACCGTTAATTTCAAAATTTTCTATGTTTGTCAACGACTTAGACGTCATTTACTAGTAGACTGAACACATAAACAAATAATTGTATTCTTGTGCAAATTACTTAATGACTATATCTCGACCACTAAACCACACTTAAAGATACAATTTCATATTTTCTAAGAAAGTCAAAACATAATTATTTCTATGTCTTTTGCTCAATATGTTGTCAACTCACTATTATACGATTATAGGTGTCATTCTCACACTTAAAACTCATTTACACCGGAAATAATAACACAATTACCTTCCAATTACCTTTCTTGTTTTCTATTCTTTACCATGGAGTAGTTATCTTCAAACGTTTGAATTTGAAGATGAAAATGATATTTTTGCCAATTTCTCAACTGGCAATAGTGAATTATAGGATTAATAGGATTATTCTTTAACAAGGTAGGACTGTTTAAAGATACCATCTATTTTAAGGCTTTATTTTAATATATTGTAAAAATATAACTTAAAAATATGAAATTGCAACTTTAAGTTGTTTAATGGTCTCGAGCTAAAGACATTACGTAGTACGTGTATATTGAAACAACACTCGGCTAACGCCTCGTGCAGTATCCATATATTACATAATGTCTAGCTCTCGACCATTAAACCATACATAATATTGGTTCGTGGCTCTTCCACGTCCTTACATAATGTAGAGATCCAAATAAATTATATATTAGAGACTGGCACAGTAAGAATACTGGTCAAATGTAGCCTTTGTTGATAATATTTGTTGAAACTCGACACTTTTACTTTGTCTGAAGAAGTTATGGCATTTCGAAATTATGTTCAATTGTCGGATTTGGATGATGTTACTATTAGGCTACTGCTGTTTGTAAATTTCCCTTAAAGATACATTATGGGAGATTAGATAAAGAGCTGGCAGTTTTCACTATAATAGTTAAAAACTAGATAATGTAAAGGGAATTTGATGAAAATTTCGGTCTAATTGATCCACTCGAATTTCGGGCCTAGCCTCGATCATCATTACTAAAGCCGGTACGATACAATACATAGTCTCGATTATCCATTTCTTGATTTAATCATGAATGAGCGTAGAGCAGCAGATCGGATCCTAATCCAGTAAATATCGCAGGCTAACGATGGCACTCAGAGTTGATTATGCCCTGGATAAGTTAATTAATGTCTAATTAACAGTATAGATAACATTTAATGCCTAAAGATGATATATTTATTCCCTAGTGTTTGTGAAATTAGTAAGCACTTGCTCACAATTCCTGTGGGAACTGCAGACTGTGAAAAAGGATGTAGTAGACAAAATATTATTTAAAAACCAGAGAGAGAGAGAGAGAGGGGGAGAGAGAGGGGAGAGAGAGAAATAGGGCTTAACGTCCAATCGACACAAACTTGGTCATTTTTATTTTATTTCAATAATTCGCTTGCGCGTAGGGGTCTTTAGCAGTGGGAGGAAACCGGAGGACCCGGAGAAAACCCACGAGGTTGGACAGGCGACCCTACTCCTTATCACGTACAACCGGGGAATCGAAACCCCGCCAGTTGACTCAATGACAGACCGTATGATACAGCGCGTGCGTGCTAACCATTCCTCCCACTGCTAAAGACCCCTACGCGCAAGCGAATGGTTGAAATAAAGTTGAACCATGTGTTAGTCCCGAAATGACCTAGTTTGTGTCGAGTGGACGTTAAACCCCATTTCTTTCTCTCGCTAACCATTCGGCCACTCAACCCCCTAAACAAATACACTGTGTAATTTAATGATACTTAATATTGGGAAAGGAAAGTGGTTACCCAAGATTTTGAAAAAGCTTTCAAAAAGTTCGCCTCTGGAAAGCAGAGAAGAATTTTATTACGTGTAATATCATATGTATATTGTATGTATTTATGTAAATAAAAATGTAATAAAAATTACTGAAAATATCTAATGTATATTTTTAATATATTTTTTTCTTTTTTGGGGGCGGAAAAAAATATATGGCTAATATATTAAAATGAAAAATTGGCGGAAAAAACATGGAACCCATTTTGTTCATAAATGAAATGGGGTTTAACGTACTACTGTTCTGCTCCGACTGGGCTAATGAAGACTGGCATACACCATACAGTGGGCTATGAGGGAAATATTGCTCGGAAAGCGGCACTACGGCCTACTCTTATATCGAATTCCAACTGTCAAGGGATCTTTTACGTGCACGCCAATGTGTACACAGAACCTTGGTGTTTCGTGTCATCCGAATGACTAGACAGCTTTCCTTGTTAGGCCCCGCGTTCTGCATCACTGACATGGGGGAACCACGCCGGAAAATCTGGATGGACTTTCTCGGACAATGCAGGGATCGAACACCCAACCTCCAGACTAGTGTGCGTTTTGTTCATGCACGTGCAAGCCCATCACCCTCTTTGTGTACTGCATGATGGTTCATGCTTATCATATAATGCTTTTCTCCAAGCATTTTATCGCATTTTATCGTATTTAGCGACTTTTGGGTTATGATCTAACTACTTACGGGGCGGGGGTGGGGAGGGTGACATTATTTTAGAGCGGCGCGGCCACCTGGGCTAGTAGTGCCGGTCTTAAGGAGTCACAGATCAAATTGTTGGGATATTGGTCGAGTGATTGTTATTTACGTTACTTAGACACGGACTATAAATAACGATTATCTGCAGTTGCTTCCTTTAGCTCGAGCTTTCCATACACTAACCCCCGCTAATAAAATAAATAAAATCTCTTTGGGTTTGGGACATACTAAGGTTTTTTTTATCACTATTATGTACATTCTAAGTTCACACCAGGCTTTTAAAAGGTTATGCAAATTCATAATATTCAACTTCGTTGTAGCCTATTTCTTTGTGTTGGTAACTAGCATTGGAAAATGTTGGGAAAGCTCCAGTTTAAGCCGACCACATTTCAAGCAATCCTGTTAGACCTAATACGTAGTATTAAACCAGTATTAATAATTGCAGGACGTCAGTTTCCTATCATTTTAATAAGCGTGTGAAGTAATAATGACGTAGACTTCCCGCTAATTGGTACTAGTCTAGTATAATTACCGGGTTTTATAATAGCGGTTGATCCCACGTAACACATATGTCGCCATGAACCGGAAATAGCGTAACTCCGAAAACGGAGTGGTAGCCCATCGTCACCAGGCCTATGTTACTCCCCAGTCCGGTGTTACAAAATATCATGTTATACTGAATGCCAGCTTGACATGTGAAAGTAATTCGAATATGAAATCCACCTGGCCGACCCCTGTAGATCTTCTTATGTTATTATGTAACTTTAACTTGTTGATGGCATGATAAACTATACTGAACGTTAACTGATATGAAACATGATACATTATAGCCAGATGCCTATTGAGATTTCTTTGTGTGTAGAAAGGTTTAAAACCCCAGAATGAAACGGCATAGACAGAGAGGTCCAGGCAGGACATGGGAGCAGTCGGAGGCTAGGCGACGTCTGGTAGTTAACTGCAGGCCACGCAGGTTTGGAGTTAAGGCCATGTAATGTAAGAGTTGGGAGTTGGCACACTCGTGCCTAGTGGAGCTAGGACACGGCTCTCTCAACACAAGCTAGTTATGGAGTCTTTAAGTTTTGTATATAATATGTTAGAAGAAGCAGAGAATAAAAGTATTTTAAGATGTTAAACTAGTCTTGTCATCCGAACCTGATTAAAGAACCAATACTATCACACCGGGCTACCCCTACACACCAACTTTCAGCCTCGGGACAGCCCTAGTGTAGACGACAACCCTGAACAGACAGACAGATAAACAAACGACAGTCACAAATATTAGTATAGATTATGACCACTGGTTAATAATATATCAGGTTCGCCATTAACTACATGAAAGAGGGTGGGTTTTAATGTCCTATTCGTCTTCGACACCAATAGGGTTATGGAGACGAGGACAAGCCTATGACATGCAGTGTGCTATGGCCAATCATGATGCAACGGTTACTTTGCTTGCACACCGCCATTTTTAAGATTTGACCTTTATTTTTATTTGTATCGTCTTGCGCGTAGGAGTCTTTAACTGTGGGTGGAGACATGAGAAAACTTGTCACCCACCGCACTCGACTCAATGAGAGACTTTACAATCTAACACGCATGTGTAAAACCATTCGACCTCTTAAGAAAGTGTAATGTATGGCCGGGCGACTAACGTTTAATGAATACCCCAGACACGCATCAGTTTTAGCACACCCCAAATACAGCTATTCTATTGAAAAGAAGGCACTTGCTGAATTTTAACAATTTTCGATGTAATTCAGGGTTATGCACCTTTGCTACGAAATCGTGGCATCATCCACGTGGCTTCAACACCGGCTATTATAATGGAATGCAAGGTGAGTGAGCATGACTAGCACCTTTGTTACATAGCTTGTTATAACTAATCATGCTCTCTCACCTTGCATTCCATTGGATAGTTCGCATTGATGTTTGTATATATATATATTCATATCTTTCTCATTTTTTTTATCTATTTGTGTATATGTTTGATAACGACGGTAAAAGTAACAGTTTGTGTATAACTCGACATAACCTACTTCCGGCAGTAGCTAGGATACAATTCCGGGCTCCGGATGATTTAGATATCTAACTGAGAATTGTCTTACGCCCTGTAGATCTATAGTCTCGATATACTGATCAAATATGACAAATCGACTTCAACTTGTAATCTGGGTTTAGAAAAGCCATGTGTTGTTGTATGCGATGTATGCGATATCACAACACAAGTATTCATTTTGAAATCTGCTTCATTTATAAATAAAAGGAAACTGTCCTCAAAAGACTTTATAAATGTGTTATCAACTATCTATATATTAATATTAAAGTAGCATAGGTTTTAACAGCAACCTTATATTAAAATCCGTCATTAAATCCTCGAAACGTTATTTGAGGAACTGCATTGGCCGAGAAAGTTCATCCAGATTTTCCGGCGTGGTTCTCCCTTGTCAGTGATGCAGGACGGAGGGGCTGACAAGGACAGCTGTCTAGTCGTTCGGATGGGACGAAAAACCGAGGTCCCGTGTACACATTCGCGAGCACGTAAAAGATCCCTTGACAGTTGGAATTCGATATAAGAGTAGGCCGTAGTGCCGCTGTCCGGGCAATAGTTCCCTCATAGCACACTGTATGGCGTATGCCCGTCTTCATTAGCCCAGTTCGGAGCAAAACAGTAGGACGTTAAACCCCATTTCTTTTCATTTCATTTATTTGAGGAACTGTTAATCTCAAGTTGAATATCAAATAGGAACATGTATCCGGTGATATTACAAGATCTACGTCATTATATTATACCAGCTGTGGATGCAATGTGTCATCAATGTTACAGGTGTCAGTGTTGTCATTCGACTTAAAAATGACATTTTTCATAAACAATCACGATGTCCAATGGTGTTTCTGACCCTGTTAAAGGTGTATTGAATTAACTCGGCAAATATTGTCTTTTCAGAAATAAAATCATCAGAACAATCACAATTTGTTGACATATTATAGAGGGGTAGATTACAGACAGTCATTCAGAATTGGCTAAATGTACGTGCCAGCCTTTGCAGATTAATATCCCTTGATATAATTTTTAAAGTCACGTTATTCTGTTTTGCTGTCCTCATCAGCTAAAATGTTATTTAGATTATTTACTCTTACATGATTTTATTCTCCATTATATTTTATTTAGCCAAACATTATTTCTTGTATATAATATGTAATTTCTCATATGTATCTTAAATGTTTATAAGTTGCGATTGGTTTAATTATTGACTTATTTAAGCATTGGCTACTAGTAGATATTGGACAGCCATAGTCTATTTTTATTTCACGTATAGATATTCGTTAACCTTTTTGTACTATATTTGATCATTTCGAATTAACCATGGCAACATATGGTTCTCAAATTATATTCGTTAGTCAATGTTCAGTTTGAGCTCAAAAGTGTTGGCTGCACTTTAATATGCGCGCTAAATCATATTTATTTTTCATGTATGAGCGTAAATTGCATATATAAGCTTTAAGAGCTAAATCAAACGAGCAAATGATTAGTTAAATTTAGATGCAACTAATTTACGTTTAAATGACAAATCGGCAGCTACGCCGCCTATCAGGAACACGTGTCGCCTCCTACAATTAGACACGTAACGTGATTTACGAATAGTGCCTCTGCACAGCCAAGTGAGTTAGCTCCCCCCCCCCATCCTTTTATAACTCATAGTTCATTTGTAGATATATTGACTTATAATTGTACATTGTATTGATTTTGTATTTTATTATGATTTGAGTCAATACTGGAACTTAAACTCTCTCTTCTGTTTTAATTCAAGGAACGCACAAAACAAATTAGATGACATTTGAATGGCCGCTAACAGCCACCATAGTTATATATATACTATTCAAAAAAAGTAGGGGATATTTGATTTTGGGGGCATAATACTAAAATATGCAAATGACTACGAAAAAAGTCACTATAGAACCTAACAGAAGAAACATTTCCAGTTACATGTGACGCCCAAACGCACCAATAGCTACCGCATGGAATGCAGGTGATGCTGGGGATCATCATGGGGGTCCAACCCAAGATTTGCACGACTCTGACTTTGAATGTTACAGTCACTGTGGCATTGAATTCCAGGGTGGAAACATCAGTATAATTGTTTTAGTGACCAGAAAACAAATTTTGATATGCGTCGGCTTACCCAAAATGAAAGGTTACGTGCCCTTGGCATGCTACAGATCGGCACAACACAGGCGGTTGTGGCGCGGACGATGAATGTTTCTCAGTCTGTCATAAGCAGGCTATGGTCCAGATACCGTGATACACAATCTGTACAGGACAGACCACGCTCAGGTCGACCAAGGGCGACAACTCAAGCCCAGGATCGATTTATCCGT